ATTCCCAAACTGTGCCTAGCTCACCGAGTATTAATGCCACAGGCCATCTTCAGGCCCATTTCTAATGCTGTGGACTGTAAATTGCTGCAATCTCAGGTAAAATCATTTGGCTTTTTGCATACAACAAACCCACTACTGCAGGAGCATCCTATGTGTATCGATGGTTTGATACAGAGTCTAGCACAGGAAAAATGCGTTCATTTATGGGCTTGTTGCCATGCCTGCTGCGTGGAGGTGCAGAAGGGCCCCTTTCTCCCTCCGTCAGAGTTATTTCTTCCTTATCAAAGCAGGAAAAGATTTCAGCCGGAGAATAGCGCCAACCAAGCCATTTATTTCAGATAAATCTGTTTTATAGTGTAGATTTCAGTTTAAAAAAAATTAAATCTTATTCAGGGAAAGCATAAAGTTGCCCTACTGCCTGTAGTATTCAGAGCATGGGGATTTATTTATTTTTTTTTAGGGCTGTGCTAGTTTCGTCTTGTATTACAGAGGCAAGGCTCCTTAAATAGCATTTCCAGAGAACTCTCCAGACTTGACCTGGTCGGGCTTCATTCTGACAAGTTGAAGAGGGAGCTGGGGTTATTTAGTCTGGAGAAGGGGAGGCTGAGGGGAGACCTGATCGTGCTCTACAACTGCCTGAGAGGAGGCTGTAGGGAGGGGGGGGTAGGCCTCTGCACCCTGGGAACAGGCGATGGGATGAGGGGGAATGGTTTGAAGCTGTGCCAGGACAGGTTTAGGCTGGACATTAGGAAAAACTTCTTCCCCGAAAGGGCTGTCAGGCTCTGGAATGGGCTGCCCAGGGAGGTGGTCGAGTCCCCACCCCTGGGGGGATTTAAAAGAAGGAGAGATGAGGTGCTTAGGGACAGGGTTTAGTGGTGGGATGGCAGGGTGAGGTTAAAGGTTGGACTTGATGATCTCAAAGGTCTTTTCCAACCAAAGTGATTCTATGATTCTATTCTAGGTTAATGGGTAGGCATGTGTGCCTCGGCTTGCAAGAAAAACGCCTGCTTGTATGCAGCCAGGCTATTTCTGCAGGAACCTCCATGGGGACGGTGCGAACCCAGCTCTGCCGATGTTGTTTGCCAGTAATACGTTGGCTGGAAGGAGCCCGGTTGCCTTGGTAACAGGCCAGAGTCACATAGCAAGGTTCATTTTAGTTAATGAAATGATAAAAGGAGAAGAATGACAGGTCCCCTTTACACTCCTAGGAGTAAGCCACTGTGAATGTGGGGAGCAGAGGAAGCGTGTGTTCTAAGTTGGGCTGGGAAGCCATTTCAGTGCAGCTGTCCTAACCATGCTGAGGCAGTCCAGAGTGGTGAGAAAAACCAGTGTGACCCGAGTGGCTTCAGAAACAATGCCCCGAGGGTCAGGTGTGCTGGGGAACGTTGTTTAGGTTGATTTTGGGGTATTTTTGCCAGTGGCCCTGCCCAGGTGTGGCAGCTGGGGTGGAGGGGGCCCGGCTGCAGGGGACATCGGGGATGAGGGGTGGCTCTGGCTGTGAGGCTGTGGAGCAGCTTCCAGAGGGAGGGGGGCGGCCCACACGGGCAACAGCCAATCGCCGGGTGCCACCTGTCTGAAGGAACCAATCAGATGGGTGCTCTCACCCCTGTGGTAGAGGGCGGGGGGGGGGCGCTGGGAGTGCTGCGCATCCTGAGGAGAGACCCTAGGGCGCCGGCCTGCCCGGCTTCTCCCGGGGACGGGGGGGCTGTGTAACCCCTACATCTGTGGCTAAAGTGTATCGTGAGTCGATCTAGTCCCCGCGCTGCCAGTTGGGTTCTGAACAGTGAGATCGGAGCGTGGCCAAAGAGCGTTTGCATGGATGTGCAGTACTTGAGAAATAAAACATGGTAGGAAATGGCTATTTGGAGATTAGCTCTTCTTCCAGACTCACTGAAGCAGTGTAGCTTTAGAAATAATATCCTTTAAAACTGAAGAGTAAGCTATATACTATCCTGCCACAGGCTAGTTTAAAGGAATGTCCTTGTTTGATTCATTGCTACCCCACGTGACAAGCGAGGTGGAAGCTGTCCATCTTGCTCCTGAAGCAAAGCAGGTAGCAGCAGTGAGTTTTAAAATGGATGCTATAAATGGCAAGCTAAAACTCCAAATGCTAGTAGTTGTAGCTACTCTTGCATGCACTGATCTGAAATTCATGGCACATGTGAAAGAAAATTAGGAAGGCTGAGCAAAGCAAGGAGGATACAGAACATCTTAACTTGGGTCTATTGATCTGGATACTAATGAAAGTTAAAACCATTTAAAAAATACTACCCTTACCAAAAATATCATCAAGGACACGTTCTGCTCTGTACATAAATGAGGAAACAACTCTTGTGTACTACTTCTAGCGAATACTCATTTCCCGCTTTCTTAGCTTGTGGGGGAAAAAAAAAACCAAACCCATGCTGCTTGGTAGTGTTCAGTGAATGGTCTGTCACTTGAGCAAAGTGAGGGAAGAACAATGAATAAAGTCCTATTGCAAAATATTAGTGTCTCGATGAAGAGCTGAGCCCCTACAATCATGCAAACCCCAGGTAGGGAGCAGTGCTGTAATGCTTCCCTACCTCCTGCATTAAATGAGGAGTAAAGTACCTGCATCCTATGAAGAGTTTCCATGGAGCTGGATTGTTTTAATTGGATTTTCATAATTTTTACTTTATCCTTATTCACGTGAGAGTGCATGGAGCTGACAGTGACTAAAGTCTGCTCTGTGCAATGTTCTCAGAGTTACTTTCTTCATCCAGTGGAGCTTGGGAATTTGAAGCAGCCATGGATGAAATTTGGTCTTACGTACAGTTGTGAAGGCTGGGCAGGGAATATATTTCTTCTGGTTTTGTCTAGGACAAATTCACCTTTAAAATGAGGAGAAAAAGCAAAAAAGGCTGTTCTCTTGTGGATATTAGTCGTCTCAAAATAGTGCAGATTAAGTAATTAAGTATCTCAAATATAAGTTCCTTTTTTCTTACTTGGGGACATCTGACTATATTAGAGAATTTTCTGCTAAATAAACAAGGGGCTTTTCAGTTTTTTTCATAATATGGAGCAAAATGGACTGGTCTATTACTAGTTTTTTTCCTTCTGTTGAAATACCTGGTCTGCCTTTAGGACTCCAGCACAGAATGGAAAGCTGGATTCTCCTATCTCACTCATGTAGTCCCATTCCTGTGTTACACTTCTTACTGGAAAGGCTTCATCATCTAAAACAGACAAGGAAGGAGGTTGTTCACAACACAAAGCAAAGAACGAGAGGTGTGAAGATGTGTAAGCATCTGACAGAAAAATTTATTGATTTTAATTGCTGTATGCTACATTAAGGCTTGTCATGCTTTGAACATGAGATACCCGTATTTGGTTTGTGTTTTCTAGGCAGACTTTCCATATAGACTCTCTCTTCATATAGAGACTTCCATATAGAAGCCGAATAGGAAGGAGCTCACGGAGCTCTTTGGCATTTGCAAGTCTGTAATCCACCAAATATACTCCTAGGGTTATATTTCAAAATACAGGAGGAGTGGGACATACCCAGTTTCTTACTGAAGTATTAAGGATGTGTATTCATTCATAATCAAGATTCTGTAGGCAGAATTTCAAGAGCAAGGTAAGTTGCATAGGTCCTGAATACAGGTTTGGGACTGTCCATGCCAGTGATGAGACCAGTCCTACAAAGGACTAACACAGTTTGGAAAAATGACTTGTCTCTGATAACCAGCTAAGACATTTGAGGTGTTCTGCGGTGTTAGGTTGTGTCAGAAATTGTCTAAAAAAACCCCTTCTGTCACATAGGGCTCTAACGAGATACATTTCTATACCTCAGGTGTGTTTTCTTTACTGGCTCAAGATAAGCAATCTTTTTGTACAATTTTAATTATAAAGACATCAAAATTAAGTCTTGCTGCAAGAATGTTGCATTTTATAATGCTCGGTGTAATTTTTTTCAATCGATAAAGTAACTTAAGACATAACTTTTATGGTGTTCCAATTGAAATGAATAATGCTATATTTTTTTAAAAACTCATCCGTTATGTGTCTATACCAGCTTATGTGTCACTAAAGTTATAAAAAGTAAATGTGCGGAAATATATTTCTCTTTAAATATGCTACAGTAAAATGCTTTCCTATTTCTGAGACTCTCAGTACTTTGTTGTACTAAAAAATATTTTTTGTAAATAAACTTCTCTGTAAGTAGTGTCATCTGCACTTCCAAGTGTTTGTGTACCTCCTTTTATCGCACAGTAGTTTATCACTACTGTGAATTAGCAAATTACTGCAGGATAGGAATATAGTGGGCGTGTGTGTAGGAGCAGCCGTAGCACTGTCAGCTTCCAGCCTCGTTAATTTTACGGTAATTTGTGTTCAATACTATTTTCCAGTGTGCTGTGGAAGCAGCGGCACAATTTGAGACTGGATCATAATGCAGATACATGCAAAGCCACCACTTGTGAATTAAGAATGCCTGTATAAAATTCAGTGTTATTATAATTGTGTATTGCTTTGGGACATTCTTTTGATTTGTTTGCTTTGTGTCCTTTTGCTGGTTTTGAACTTAATCATTTTTATTTCAGTTTGTTTCTTTTAGTTGTCAGAAAAAGGTAAACTGGCTGTTAGAATTCTTTTTTTCATAATATTTTTAAATTATGAATGGTTTTTAGGTCCTTGCTAGAAGTGTAGTATTGAATCTGCAAAGGTAATATATACCTACGTTAATGCTGTTAATAAGCACTTAAAGGGATCATTACAATAAATCTGCTCTAGCCTTTTGTCAGATGTATTTATTATATAATACTTTTTGAAATACTGATACCTTCTAAATAGTTTGTTTTGCTTTTAAAGGAGAAAGGGAGGGAAAACAGAAAAGAATTAAACATATTTCCTCATTGAAAGACTGCTTATGGCTCTTAAAAAAAAAAAGGGGGGGGGGAAGGCATGACAGGAGAATAAAACCCAATCTGTGCAGTTCTTCATATGTTAACCCTCTCTTTATTTTTTTTTTTTTCTTGCAGGAAATCCTGGCTGAGTAAGGTTGGAAGCCCAAGTTCTCGCATAGATCGAACAAGTTTTTCCAATGAGAAGGAGATTTCCAAGCTTGACTTCTCAGGATTTAGCACTAGATACTAATAGAAAAAAAAAAAAACCACCACTGAGCACAAAACTATGGCGTTTCTGCTGCATGATGTTTTCTGTGCCTCCATAAAATGTCACAAGAGCATTTGGATGCTTTCTGTACTAGAGATAAATACAAATGGTCCCTGAAGTAAGAATTCTTAGTTGCTGTATTAGACACTTTACAGCATGAATGTCAACATCTAATGTCTAAAATGTCAATATCTAATTTGTTGTATCTTGAAAGCTAGAAAAATGGTTAAAAGTGTTGGTGATTATTTGTGCACAGTGAGATTTGTTTATATAACCATATGGAACCTCATCTTTACACTGTGATTCATATTTTAGATGCAAAACAATAAATTTATGTTCTACTGTTTGTAATCTCACCAAAAATACTTAACTACAGAACTGGAACACTGGGAGATTTATTCTAACAGCTCTGTCTTGTAGATGGTATTTGTGATAATTAGTTAAGATATAGCGGTAATTTAAAATAAATGTATGTTGCCTCAAACTAAGATTATCTAAGCAGCTCTGGTTTAAAATTCTGTATAATAAGTCTTGGAATGAGCTGATGAAATGCGTGGCCTCTCACCCCTTTTTCCTTGTCTACCTACAGCTTACATCTGTACTGACTATAAAGGAAGCTTTGATCTTTTTGCTTTTTTGATGTTCTTGCTAAAATTGAAGACTTCAGTTATTTTCCTTATGGATCTGTATTTGCTCCTTAGTTAAGAATGTATGTTGGAACCCGATTCAAGATGCACCCACGGACGTCATATCAAGTACATGAAAGGTCCTGAGAAACTTGAGTTATGGGCTTGCAATAAATATTGGATAAGTCTTTGCAGTATTGGATCTAATTCTCATACGTAGTGCTCTTTTCACAGGCACCAAGGAGTCTCTCAGGGCTGGACTCGCATCTAAAGTACTTCTGTGTCAGGATTAGTGCATGCTGTGGCAGACTTTGGTTAGATCTCTGATACATCCAAGCAGGCACCTGTGTGATCTGGCAGTACTCACAGTTAATCAAGATTGGTGTGATCACGCTATGTGGCAGCTCAAGCTGTAAGTCCCTGAGAAGCGTATAGCACATAAAGCGCAGTAGTACTGCGGTAATGTGGCCTGGGGTTGGCTCCAAGCACAGGCAGAGCCTGCTGTTGTCTGCCTGGGCTGTACCCTCCGAGAGGCCCTTTGTGAAGATACTTAAGCTGGTATTTCCAGTAGCTGTCCTGTACCTCTTCAAAGAGTTAGATAGTGTCAATTTAGGCAGAATCCTCAAAGTTGTGGTTCTTTTTTTTTTTTTTTTTTAAATTTCTGGAAAGGACATTTTGTAACTTAAGCCTTGCACTTTCATCTGTGCAGAGCAAGGCGTGCATAGAAAGTTATTTCTACTGACTACTAGATTTATTTTCACTGGGCCTTTGTGCATTAAGCAGCAAAATCTCCTTTCTAGAATTTGCAGGAGTTACTTACAAATTGTTATAGTTCAAACTGCACTTGACTTCTGTGATTATACACAAGCATCCTTTGTTGAAGTCATTGTCAGTAACTCTTGTTTAACTCAAATGGTAAATGGCAAAGTTCAAGTGTAGCGGTAGCTTGAGAGCTGTTACATCCTCTCTGAAAATTGTATCCTGCTAAACATAAGTAGTTTACATTTTCCTTGAAGCTACCCCCTCAGTCAAAGGCGTTTCCAACCAGGTTGCTTGTATTTTGAGCAACCATAGAGGAAAGCAGAAAACAAATAGGACATTAGATACACAGGAAGGGGCCAAAGATTAAATTGTTGGTTTGACCTGTCTGGCATGGGTGGAGCTGGGTGCTCAAAGGTCTCAGTAATTTTACCTCAGCTCCTCTAGAAATGCAAGGCTTGAGGAGGGGGAAGCAGCCATTTAAAGTGCTCGCTTTTTGGGGGAGAAAATGTGCAGGTAGGGAACTTTGAGAAAGTTTAAAGATGAAGAAATCTGCATGTAACTTTCTCAGATACTGAAAACAAAAAAAATACTCAGTCTCGATATGAGTGCTAGACCAAGGATTTTAGAATGCTTTTCCTAACCAAGAAGTGTTTTGGCAGAAGTTATTCCTAGTATTAAGCAAATATAACTTCTGTAATCTGTGGCCTATATGCTGTAGGCCAGATCTCTTGTTGAGTCTGTCACAAGGATATTTTTCTTTATCGGTGTGATAACACTCAGCCTCTGCTTCTGTGCTTGTTTGGAGCGGATCCGATGAAAAGGTTCATTCTGGAATACGTCTATAACCTTCCTCTTTGGGAGTCAGCAAGTTTTCTATTGTCAACATCTACTTACCTCACATCAATGATATGACAAGAGGCAAGCAATACATGCAAGTTCTCTAGTGAGTTTAGTGCTGTGTGTTTGACATTCGAAACTAAAATCCATGTACTTTGTGTTTTTTTTTTTTTTAAATTTCTGGAAAGGACATTTTGTAACTTAAGCCTTGCACTTTCATCTGTGCAGAGCAAGGCGTGCATAGAAAGTTATTTCTACTGACTACTAGATTTATTTTCACTGGGCCTTTGTGCATTAAGCAGCAAAATCTCCTTTCTAGAATTTGCAGGAGTTACTTACAAATTGTTATAGTTCAAACTGCACTTGACTTCTGTGATTATACACAAGCATCCTTTGTTGAAGTCATTGTCAGTAACTCTTGTTTAACTCAAATGGTAAATGGCAAAGTTCAAGTGTAGCGGTAGCTTGAGAGCTGTTACATCCTCTCTGAAAATTGTATCCTGCTAAACATAAGTAGTTTACATTTTCCTTGAAGCTACCCCCTCAGTCAAAGGCGTTTCCAACCAGGTTGCTTGTATTTTGAGCAACCATAGAGGAAAGCAGAAAACAAATAGGACATTAGATACACAGGAAGGGGCCAAAGATTAAATTGTTGGTTTGACCTGTCTGGCATGGGTGGAGCTGGGTGCTCAAAGGTCTCAGTAATTTTACCTCAGCTCCTCTAGAAATGCAAGGCTTGAGGAGGGGGAAGCAGCCATTTAAAGTGCTCGCTTTTTGGGGGAGAAAATGTGCAGGTAGGGAACTTTGAGAAAGTTTAAAGATGAAGAAATCTGCATGTAACTTTCTCAGATACTGAAAACAAAAAAAATACTCAGTCTCGATAGGAGTGCTAGACCAAGGATTTTAGAATGCTTTTCCTAACCAAGAAGTGTTTTGGCAGAAGTTATTCCTAGTATTAAGCAAATATAACTTCTGTAATCTGTGGCCTATATGCTGTAGGCCAGATCTCTTGTTGAGTCTGTCACAAGGATATTTTTCTTTATCGGTGTGATAACACTCAGCCTCTGCTTCTGTGCTTGTTTGGAGCGGATCCGATGAAAAGGTTGATTCTGGAATACGTCTATAACCTTCCTCTTTGGGAGTCAGCAAGTTTTCTATTGTCAACATCTACTTACCTCACATCAATGATATGACAAGAGGCAAGCAATACATGCAAGTTCTCTAGTGAGTTTAGTGCTGTGTGTTTGACATTCGAAACTAAAATCCATGTACTTTGTGTTGTGCCATGATGTATTTAACAGTTTTCTCTAATGGTGCTAAGTAAATTGCACATAGGATGCTTTTTATTCTTTGAGAAGTTAAGATTTTGCCAAGCAAATAAGCAGTACAGGTGTGTTGACATTTCCCAGAAACTCTGGGCAGGGTTTTCAGAGAGGGAGGGAATAAACATCCCATTCCATACCTTCAAAGCTTTGGGAATCTTACAGCCAGTTGTACTTCTGGAGTATACCTAGTGAAGCAAATGGCGTTCCAAGGGGCAAAGGGATCTCTTCCATTACGCTTCAGTATTCAGTAACGATAATACATAACACACAAAAAGCCCCCTTATGTCCCTGTGAATTTAGGGGTTGCTGGGGCCAAAGCCCATCTGTTATCAAGCTGAGGAACTAATACTTGACTTACCAAGTGCTGCTGGCATCCTGATGCATGGCCAAAGGGAAATGCCTTTACAGATGTTTTAGGTTCTTTTTATATTGCATTGAAATCTAACTTTAATGCATCATATCCGTTCTTAACTGTTATTGCATAGCCATGTTTTATTCATGCAGATGCCTGCAGTACAGTTAGGATGCTGTATTTGTCGAGGCGTATAGCCAGCTTGAGGAGCAGGGCACCTGCCTTGCTTATGGGTAAATACAAACTTGTAGGACTCTTGCCCAGGTGATCATCAGAAATAAGCAAATAATCCTGCATCTCCTTGGGGATATGCTGTGCACAAAATGGAGGCTCGTACTGACTGCAAGAAAGAGACTATATTGAAGTTTGTAAGTAGCTTACATGAGATGGTGGTGTCAAAAACACGTTGAAAAGCAGTAGTCTAGAAGACAGTGTGTCATTGTTGCTCTCCTGAAAAGGCTATTATAAGTGAACAGATACCAGTTTGTTTTTTATATCTTGGGTGACTTTTTCCAAGACAGATATTCGGAGACTGTTCAAAGTAACTTCTGTTCTCTGTCTGAAAGATCCTTCAGATGGAGGCAGGATGCAGTCCTGCAGTCTGAGCAGGTCAAGGCTTAATGGTGAGCCCATGGCATGGCAAGAGATAGTGGTAACTTCTGTCTGTCTGCTTCCTGGGCAGGCTGTGTGCTAGTGAATTTGGGGGTTCTGAAGTTGGATGAAGAGGTTGTCAGAGGGATTTGGATGAGTCTGGGCAAAGCAGCATCACATCTGGGGAGATTTGAGCCCTCTGTAGAATTTGGTTGCTTGGAAGTGTTTTTCCATGCTGCAAGTCACATGTTGCTGTGTTACTGCAACTAATGAAGTGTTGTCTCGCACTGCATGCATTAATTTTCTCTTTTTATTTAATTCTCAGATTCTGTTAAAGTATCGAGTCCAAAATCATCCAATTTTTGGAAATACAGTGTGTGCGGAACATCAGAGCAGTATCTCTAGATTTAATGAAAACACTGATTTTGAGGAGCCAAAGAATTCCAATGGTAAGATAGAGGGGGAGAAAAAAGGCAGGAACAGTTGGCTAATTAGACATCAAAACTAAGTTGACACCTTTTTCTTTTTCTACTAGATACTGATATCGCTCAGTTATAACTGTAAGTCAAAGTAAAATGAAAGGATATCTAATTTTTTAAAAATTGCAACGCAGCAAGAACTAACAATGTGTAGGCCAGCTCCATTCTTGCTGTAAGTGGAAATAGTTTACACCTATCTATAAAGGGTTGAGACATCTGAAAGTCTGTTCCCATTATTTCCAAGTTACTTGTAAATTCTGGACCATGACTTTCTTGAAGGAGAATTTTGTGCCTGACTTGTGTTCTAATGTAATTTAAGGAAATTTGCGTCATTAAACCTTAAGACCAGGCATGTTAAATTAAAATTGGAGCTTAATTCCTAAATGGCCAGGCAATTTCAAAAATTTATGGGATTCTGTATGTATGTTTAAAGAAT